TAGGCTGATTTGTTAAAGCATTATGATAAGCGATAAGTAGTGTTTTGAAGTAAACGTGACTATTACACCGTATTGGTAGTTTTCCTCTTAGAATTGTTCCTGTTCCAGTTCCTAAAAAAAGATTTTTAAAAAGGTTTATTTGATTGACTTGTCCCATTGTAAAGTATGCACCTGCTGTGAAATGAAGCCACAGAGAAAAAAAAAAAGTTGAATAATTTAACTTTTTTATTTGTAAAGATAATCAAGGTTTTTCTGATTACATCTTAACTTCATAAATGTTAAATAACCTATCAGCATCTAGTTGTTGTAAATTATGAAAAGGAGCATTGCAAGGAATATTAACCAACGAAATCCTTGTTCTTTAGTGAACAAGAAAATGTGTTATGGCAGCTTGTCACTGTGCGACTGGTAACTTTGACACCAAATAACAAAACTGCCATTTGCACTTAGGGTAAATTGGTTCACCTGAGCTTCCCCTGCTCCTCTTGCTCTGACATAAATTTATGAACTCGGGAACTAACCCAGTCGTGTGGCTCCCCAGCTGACTTTAACAAATATGCCCATTTCATTTCATTTAGTCATCAGAATGCCAGGGTGCTGGGTCGTTGCAGACTCACTGCAGATGGTACCAGGTTTGCAGGGACACAGGAGGCTTTCCTGTCACAGTCCCAGAAATCAAGATGGGGAGGGGTACTCCTTCCTAAATGCATGTCAGGTTTGACATGTTCATGGGTTCAAGGGACATTTTTATTTCGGTGCATCATAAGTACATGGAAAGGACATTTTTTTCTGATGAAGCAGATGCGAAAAAATACATTTTCTAGGTTCATGCTTTGAAGAGCCCATGTTTAAACCTAGATCAAGATTATGTCTATATCAGAAATGTGGGTGGAAGAGCAGTTTTTTTCTTTCCCCTGACCTCTAGGAGTCCAGTCCTTTTTAACAGAGAAGTTTCTAGAAGCAGACCTACAGATAGAGACTGAAGACAGACAATTAAGTGCAGCCTCAGGGCAGTTGGAGTGAAGAGCTCTCTCAATGACTGCTGAGACTGATAACAGTACTTCATAGTGTACCACTTGGTTATATATCCAAGGACACATAAAAGTAAAGCTCGGTGGCAAAACATTAAAGATTTTTGCTGGAAGAAATATAACATGTTTGGTATTGGAAAAGCAACTTTGCATAAAAGATGGGTTCAGTAAGTGTCTGAGGACACGACATGAGGGTCCATGAAAAGCATCACAGTTTTTTGGTTTTTGTTTTTTTCAGTTTTGTTCCATTTCATTTTGTTCAGTAGAGACATCTATCATTTATTCAGCTCTTTTGCTGTCACAGGAGTGTACTCAAATATTTCATATATATTCTCTAACTTAATCCTTAGAGCTGTTTATGAGGTGGCTCCAGATATCATCATGTTAGAGGTGAAGAGAATGGCATTCATGGCAGTCAGGTAATTGGTCAAATTGTCTAAAACAAGGGCAGAGAAGGGATTTGATTTCTCTGACTCCATCCTGTGGTTTATGTAGTTCAGTGAGAAGGATGGCATACTTTTCAAATATGTGAATGTAAATTTTCTCTACAAGATCTAGCACAGGAACAGAGAAGACAAAATGAGCGCCTCATCCCAGGGGGGCCAGCAACACAGACTAACGGAATCTTCTCAGGATTGTATTTTGTCTCAGGTCTTAAGTTTTCATCTTTAAGCACTCCTGCCAATTTGGCATTGTATTCCAGTGTGTTTGTCTTCATCCAAAAAAAATAATGTGTCATGTAATTTATCGTCTGAGGAGACATTCTCTAATCTCTTTGGCTAAGAGTGATGTTCAGGGTATTAGAGCCATCTGAAGACACTGGCCAATAACAGCTTCCATGTCCAGGCACTTCTTCCTCTACTTTGTCATAAATATGTGGGCACCAACTGAAATCTTGATTCCTGTAGCTGTATAGGCTGGAACAAGGTAACACTAAGGGGACAGGCCAAACATGAGATGGGATGCTGGGATGCTTGCTATTCTAAGACAGTCTGGATGGACATTTCCATAAGCATATCTTGCTGACAAAAGATCAAATTGCAAACTGAGAGGAGCCCTAATTCGCTCGTCAGTCCCCTTTACTACTTCAAGCAATAGTCTCTATTGAACATTTTCAGTTAAAAAGAAAAGCCTGAGCAGAATGCATTTTTATTTCCCTCACATAGAGGACTTAGGTTTTCCTCAGCAATGAGTGAACAGAGAACTTTAGATGGTCTCTGTAATCAGTTCTCTTCATTTTAAATAATAAGGTCATGTTGTGAGCAGTATAAACACCCCTAATTTTTGTCTTCCAGTTGAGAATTAGGCCTTGAAGAATATCTTCTGAATAATCCAGCATGTGTATTCATGATGCCATGCAAGAGAAAGACAAATTTATTTAAATTTCAAAAAATTAGTCTTTGTTGTGATATCTTTTTTCTTCGTGGACAAAAGTAATAGAGATTTGTCAATTATCTGAGACTGAGGAGAAACCTCAAGAGCTAGCCAACCTCTCATCCTGTGTCTAAGGAACATTACCCACCAGGAATTGATATGAAAGTGATTATGAGACGCTACAGTGAACTGTATCATGAGTAGTACCTGTATTTGCTTGACATAAGTTGGTCAGCATAAACTTTTTCTGCTGTTGAACAGTTAGTTCACTCCAAGGCAGCTGGCTGGTGACAGTTCTCAACAGCACCTATTGTTTTCTAGTGTTGTGATTTTTAGGAAGAAAATCCACAGCCAATTTTTATAAACAAGGAACAATGGAATTACGTTGGCTTCCTTGCACTGATCCATCGGTGGGGGCTCCAGTACCTCATCCCATTTCTAGTCTATTTAATGAGTCTTCATTCCATCTGTATATGTTCTCTCAAAGTTATCTTTTCATTTTCACCCCCAATATGCTAATCTCCTTTAAGTCTCCATCATTAAGGGAAAACAATAATATAGAGGCATAAACATGTTACCAGATGGTCCTCTGTTCAAGCCCAGCTACCTTAATTAACTAATGTGAAACCTGTAACAAAATACTTAACTCCTCTGAGTCTTCATTTTCTAATATTTAAAAAATAGTAATAATATTTACCGTACAGTTTTGTCATGAGACTTTATTCATTGACTCAGTCAAATCCATCATTCATTGAGCTTCCTCTCACCAATGAACACTCCATGAATATGCCATCATTCACTGAGCTGCTACTTTGTGCTAAAATCTAGACATCAGAAGTGCATTGGGGTCAAGAAACAAGTCCCTGACTTATAAAGTTGAAGTGCAAGTGGTATTAACTGAGGTTATTAAAGCTGTCTGGCATACAGCCGAATCCAGTGAAAGGACTGATCTTGTTTGTGTAATTGCTGTGACCTTAGCACGACACTCCAACTGATAGCCCTGCCTCCTGCCTCTCTCACTTTCCATCCATCTTTGCCCACCAGCATCTCCCCGTCCTAAAATATAGATTAAATCATATTAATGTTTTCAAAGTCTCCTTGTGGCTGATTCTATATAAAGTCCAAATTCCTGGAGGAAATAATTGCTAACATTTAGTGAACACTTGAGATGGGCTTGAAGAAAGAAGGGTCTATTCTAAGCATGTTACTCTTAAATTCTCTGCTGTAGGAAAATGGAGAAAGGAAGCCCCAAGAAGAGGAAGAGGTTGGGTAATACAAAAAAAAAAAAAAAAAAAGATAGACATAGTCTCTATTGGTTCTGTTGAAATTGAGATCTCTGAGAAGAAATCTGTTGGAAATATAAATGTGGAATATAGGAGAGATATAAATCCAGAGATGATAAGTGAGGAATCCATGGTAGGAGTAGTTTAAGCTACTTGGACAAATGGAACAGACAGTTCAACAAGGATGCTCTAAAATTCTATTTAAAACTTGAATTCTCCACCTGAGGTGCCAAATTCAGACAATCTAGCACTTTTCCATGGGCAGTCTTCTCACTCTGATCAGTATTTCCTTTGGAGACTCCTTGTTGTCATCTGTCCTACACAAAATTCCCAGCATTCTGACATGTTCCTGCTCTTCAACTCCGTATGCATGGGGCCTACATCCACAAAAGGAAAAACTACATTTCTCTTTTTAGACCTCATCTCTTTTAGGTTATTGAGTCCTGTACTGTCTTCCCAGTGTATAGATTCATTGTTTCTGTAGCAAAGACAAGCTTATTTACATGCTACAAAGGTAAATAATTAGAGGCACAAAGGTTGTAAAGTATCAGATCATTGAGAAAATTCAGTGGGAAGCTCCATTACATTCTTTGTTGAAGGATCCTATCTTCGCCTTGAAGACGTGTGCATATTGTCCGTGACCAAATAAAACTTACAGGATTTAATTATGACTAGCCTGTAAAGAGGCTCAAGTGACAAGACCTTCTTTCTTTAGGAAACCTTGTAAAAAATGACAGTTTTTGAACCAAAATTTGATATGTATTTAGGTCCATAAGTCTCACTGACAGAGTGGACTGTCCTGACTCCATAATTAATGCACTAGGAGTTCTCTAGGTAGACTGTGATTTGGCTAGTTTATGGGCTGTTATGTCAAGGATCCATGTCAGACTGGATGCATACACAATGCCTACAGAAAAATTATTGTCACAAGCAAAACTGGTAGGATATTTTTTTTATGTACTTCAGAGTAAGTAAGCCTAGGGAAAATATATGACACCATTTCTAATTGCCTTATAATTTTTAGAAGCGAAACGTGACTTCATTTTTACTTGCCTATATTTTTGTATAGAACTATTCCATTTCACTTTGTTTTTGAAAACAGGTGATACACATTTTTCACCTTTGGAATATGCATCCTGTTATTTTGCAGCTTAAGTTTCACATACCTTTTAATTGCTATGTTAAGCAATAAATTGTCTAACGCTACAGCCTAAAATTTTAAATAGACATCGTTAAATCTTAAAGGACAAACATTTGTTGACCGTTCTTTATGGCATACATAAATGCTTTTATTCTCTCTCTCTCCTTCAAGGGATTCTCATCCCCAAAGTGCCTATAGAATACAACGTCTTACTCAGTGCTGGAAGCCCAGCACCTCGGACTTCCTCTGCTAGTCATCACCAGTCCATCCTTCTGGAAAATTTGGCTCCATTCACACTGTATGAGATAAGAATACAAGCATGTCAAAATGGTAAAAGTCTTTCAGACACTTGTCCTAGTCTTTTCATCAAATGTATTTTATTAAAAATTTCATTAAAAAGGAATTGATTCTCAGTTCAAATACAAAGACTAACATTTCATTTCTTATTTGTGCTGGACTGTTTACCTAGAAAAATCAGAGCCTGGCATTGAGTGAAGCATTATGCATTTCTGCACATTAAATCATGAATATTTAAATACATTAAAATGGTGGTTTTGCAAAGTCTTGTTTTATAAGACTCTTGAAAAGAAAAACACCTTGATCACATAAAGAGAATCACAGGTAATATAAAACAAAATGGTTATTACAAAGAAATCATAAAAAATGTTCTCACCTTGATTCTATTTGAGTTTTATGGGGTGGGAGCGGGCAGTGGATGGGAGATGTTATTCAGAAATCGAGGTAACACTCAAATGTCTCTTGCACATTTTACAGTCTGCTGAGTCTTGGGTCATGTTCCTCAACTGTCACCTTAAGTAGATTAGACTGGTGGTCAGTGACATGCTCATCCACCTGTATGGCCTTAGGAAAAGTCTCTCCCACTCCCTTATCTTTCCAAAAGTTGTATGACATATGACACTCAGTTGTAAGAGAAGAAAGTTGTGCCTTACCTTGGCATACAGGATGTGTTGTTTCACCTTAGATTAAAGAAATTGACCAATCTTTCATTTAGCATGTAATCAGAATGTCCGTATTACATGCCTTTCGGCACTTCTGTTTCCTATCGAGGCCTAGTCACCAGACAGTTGGTTAGGAATTGAGGTCTGCAATGTTGCTATTCTTCATCTCCAAAATTGTCACTTTGCCTACATGGCTCTACAAATTAGACTAACTATTTTGGTTTGAAGGATACTGCTTTCTCCAATCAAGGCTTCAGCTGATCAACTTGGAAGTAACTTTAACTTCACATTTTCTTGATTTAAGTGCAAAGTCAACTTCTGCATCTCTGTGTCCCTGAAATTGTGGAATGAAGATATAATATCCTCCAAATTGATGGTTTGGTTCCTGTGTGTTGAGAGAACAGTCATTATTTTAAAGTATTTAAAAACATCCCCTCCCCCCCAAAGATGTAACAACATATAAAATATGCAGGTCACACTCTCACACACACATACACATGAATTTCAAGAACATTATCACTTTAAATGACTGCAATAAACTAGAGGAACCTCAGTTCAAACAAGCATAAACTTTATTGACTTGCTTATACAACTATCCACTTTATTAATGGATTTTCCAAAAATGGTTCCCTCTTTGTTTAAATCCTATAGAGATTTATAGTACTCACCAAATGTAGTTGTGCAAGTGTGTATACAAAAGTATGAAAGAAATTATTTTGTGACATCCTTAGCCTTCATTTGCATATATACCATTTCCCTGCTTGACAAATTACTAAAGGTCTTATTTCTTTTTCAAGGAGGTTGTGGAATTAGTGATAGGAGGTTTGTCAAAACATCTGAAGCAGTCCCAATGGATCTAGATGCCCCCGTTCTTAAGGCACTGGGATCAGCTTGCATAGAAGTTAAATGGACGCCACCAAAAATGCCAAATGGAGTCATCACCAACTACTTCATTCACAGGTAACATCAGCTATGACTAGTATTGTTAAGAATTTAAGAAGGTTACTATTCTCAGCTTGCAGAATAAATACATTTATACTTCCACAGCTGGTAGGTGGGAATTCATCTTTTGGGAGCACCTACTGGAGTGTAGACTGGTGCTGGAAACTTCTACACATGATCCAAGCAAAGAAACAAGTATTATATGACCTTTGGGCTTGAGTCCTGTCTGAAGGGTGATACCTTGAGACCACATCATCTGGTGTTTGATAAAATAGTGACTGCTAGAGCTTCAGGTACCAAGGGAGCATGGTCATTCCAGAAGATACCAGGTTCATCCTTCTGAGATAATCACCTCCCAAAACCCTCACCTCCTGAAATACATCACCTCGAGGGGGTAATATTTGAACCCATGAATCTAGATAGTCCACAGCAGACACTGGCAGACATAGGATTTGCAGGTGAAAACTCCCTCTTCCAAAAGCAACACGCTGACATAAGACAAAGCGCACATTTTTCAGCTCTTCATCCTCACTGCAAGGCATTTGTTAGCTCCTCCAGCAGGCTGTTCATTCCCTTGCTTGACCCTGTGACCTGCCCCGAGTGCATCCTGAAACTCTGTGGCTTCTGTTACAAGTTTAGTTACTGAAACTCTTTGATTCAGATCAATCTGCAGAGATGAACTCAGGCCCTATAGGAATATTATGGAAGGAGACAGTGTCATTGCATTTCTGGTTATGTAAACGACAAGGCCAAAATGAGCAAGCCCAGTTCCTCCCCAGCAAACATTAATTTGAAGAATAATATTTCTGATTCAGATACACATGAACACGCAAAAATGGCTAATGTGAATTTACATTTTGGGATAAGCACATTAGTGGAAGCTCTCAAATGCCCATCCTCTTGGAATAGTTTTCTTTCATCTACTTAATGCTAATTGTATGAGAAAAGCACATCAAATTCCTATTCTGAATAAAGGGAAATAAAGTATCTGTTATAGACCAGGACGTGGCTTCACTCTGTTAGTTTTGTAAATAAAACTCATGATTACAGTGACTATTCCTTGGCAGTTCTGGAGAGGGAAAACAGGAAATCTAATGCAGAAAGCCCGTTTCAATGAAAAATACTGTAAATTGAATTTGACAGCATTTGATGGCATTTGATTATTCTAGTCACAGCCAAACAATGATATAAAGAGTAATATGAAACAGAATGTGTTACTGCCTAGCAGACTCAAAAGCAATAAACCTTCCTCCAATGTGACACAATCACTTCACAATCATAATTGTAGCCTGTTTGATACCTCTGAGCACAGCAGAAGGGCACTGACTGACATAGATACATTTTGTTTTTTATTTAAAGTGAAATGAAAATGGTCCACTGGGGCCCCAGATACCATCATTATATTCACCTACATAGGCATGAATCACTTGGCAGTTATTTCAGCTGAAGTTTAAATGTGCTTAGACAACAACAATATCAAATTTTTCTTAGATAGCTGCAAAAAAAAAATCAGAAATTTGTAAGGACAGAAATAGAATGTAGACACATAGTTCTTTTTCATTCTGGGACTGCAGAGAGCCCCATATATAGTTATAGCCACAAGCCTGCAGTATTTCTGGGGAGGTGATGGCATGTAATTTCTGCTTCATCATTTGACCCCAGTACCCCGCTTTCTCCTAGCACCACAGAAAGATATTCTCTTAGTTCCAACCAAAGACAGGCTTTGGCCTATGCAGATATTTTCATTAAATTGCCGGAAGCCAACTTGCCAATCCCATTTTGAAAGGTTTTTCACTCTGGTCTTTCTAAATCCTCAAGACATTTCCCCTCAGTGCTTTTTTTCTAGGTTCTAAATATTGCCTCTAGACATCATCTATTAAAAAGTATCTGCTTTAGTAAAAAGATAAGATGATTCTAGCTTTCAAAAGGAAAACAAAACCCAAAATCAACTAGTTAAGGACAAGACTATTAATGTGAGTGTTTCTGTTTAGTTTATCTATTAATCTGCCTACTTTGTTGACTAAGTGAATTACGTAGGAAAACTCTCCTACTTTGCAACAAGATTTGTGTTAGTGCTTCGCCATCTGTTTATTGATGGGGTATCGGAAAAACACCTTTGGGTTTTCTCCTTTTAGTAAGTATAGTTTGTATAATACAGATTCTTCAGTATTCCCCTCGTATATCTCCAAGCTTGTAAATTGTAAGATCCAACTTCCATCTGCAGAATCCACCAGACATTCTTAGAATTTCATAGAATGACCTCTCACTAGGAGTTTCTGTTTTAATGGAGACAGTATTGTATGGGATTTGTTTGTTTGTTTGTTTATTATTTTTTTAATTTATTTTTGTGTTCAAGGGCTTGAGTGCAGGGTATAGGTCAGATTTCTGAGCGAAAAACAGAGTAGAGAGGATCCACCAGACAGAGAGTGGGGAGCAGAACAGGTGGATTTACTAAAATACACTGCTAAGTGTTGCTGACACTTAAACCCTAAGCCACTGGAGGGACCCTTTTATGGGGATTTAATCTCAATATATCACTCAAAATACTTGGGAATGTGTAAAAGATCAAAATATACACAAACACCCTCTAAACGATGTAAAAATACAAAGAAATTATAAGCTAAGTGTCAAGAAAGTTTTGAAGGAAAAAATTGGAGATCATTTCAAATAGGCAAGGAACTGCAAACCTCAAAGAAATATTTATGCAATCTGTGTTGTGTGGAAAGATAGACATGGACTTGGAGACAGTTACTATCTACCATGAACTATTAGCTCTACTATCAATAATCTTTATTATAGTAGGAGATATAAGTCGAATTAAGCAAATCAACTAAAAGAGCTACACAATGTGAGAATTACAAACATTACCATAGAAGATATTGACTCTGTCTTTTATAATTTGGGGACAGTTCACAAAGTTGATGTCATTGTGTTTACAAAATAAAGGCTGAATGACAATGTTAGAAATATATTTGCTGGAAAGAAGTTTTAACAGAACAGAATTTTACAAAGGTAATTCTATCCCTTCTCTATGATTTACACAGGGGCAAATAGAATTTCCATCAGTAAAATTAATTCATATACATATATTAATTCATACACATATATGTGATATATATTATTCATATACATATAAGTGATATATTATTATGTGTATATGTGTGATACTTTCTTTACTGCTCTTCATTTTCTTTGTGCATTTGGAGATACATGTCATTTATTTTAATGACTCATGATATTTTATTTATATTATATAAAATAGATGTGTACCACACATTATTTAAGCACTCCCCTAGTTGTGGTTAAATAGGGGATTGCCCTAAGTTTCATGATAACAGCAATCTGACAAAAGAAATTCTTACAATTAGCATATGGATGATTAATCTTAGTACTAGAAATAGAGAATCAAACTTTTGTGAATTTTTAGATGTTACTCAATTGTCTTCCAAAAAGGATATATAAGAATTCTGATTCTGGGCCCTCCTTGATGGCAAAGGGGGTTAAAGCACAGCACTAAGAAGCTAAAGCGACTTCTGCATGAGTTCAAATCCTACCCACCCCGGTGGTGACCACATGACGCAGCAGGCCTCTCCTGACCACTGCTCCCCTCAGTAGTGTACTTTGTCGATCTGCCTGTTCTGCTCCCCATTGTGTGTCTGGTGAAGCCTCTCACCACCCCTGTACCTCTGGCCTGTACCCCAGTTCTGTATGCACAGATATATAAATCTTCAAAAAAAAAAAATCTGATTCTGAAAATGCTGGGTCTTATCAATCTTTCAAATCCTTGCCTGTCCAAATTTTAAAAGGCATATTATTGTTTTAGTTAAAATTTAGTTATTACAAGTGAGTGATTCACTCATCTCAAATATTTATTTGTTCTTTGTGTTTATAATACATTATAATATAATTCCTGAGGATATTTTCCTTTGTATTTTCTCCTGTTGATGTGTCTGTGTACTTTGTATTTAAAGAAAATTCTCTCTTTAGTGACAACACTAAAAATAGTGTATCAGTTATTTCTTATAGCACTTTTATGGCTCTATTCTTTATATATAAATATCAATTTAATTTTGCTTTAAGGAATGAGACAGCCAATCCAGATGTTCATTAAAAGAACTAGTGTGTCAATGTTATTTTATAATTCCTTGATTTGAAATGCCACCTACACAAAATCCCCATGTGTTGTATGGTTCATTTCAAAACCTTATTCTGTCTCATTTATGGCAGATAGAATTTTAATAAGCAGAGCCTGACAGTAAAGACATCTCAGGTGAATAAAATTACTAGAATAAGCAAAATTTCCAACATTGAAGCCATAGGGTTCAAGTAATGGTCAGATTTGACTGGAGCTTTGTTTTTTGGGGGTTTTTTTGTTTGTTTGTTTTTAAGATTATTTATTTATGCATACAGAAATGGAGTACAAGCCAGAGGTACAGGGGTGGTGAGAGGATTCACCAGAGGCAGAGCGGGGAACAGAACAGGCAGATGGAGGAAGTGCACTGCTGAAGGGAGAAGCAGTCTGGTCAGAAGAGGTCTGCCACGCCATGTGGGTCACCTCCAGGCAGGTGATGAACTTGCACTGAAATAGCTGTGCCAGCTTGCTGTGTTCTCACCTGTTGCACCAGGTTAGAACAGGGAGGACCTGTTTTGTTTTGTTTTTTAAAGATTTATTTCTTTAAGCATACAAGCCAGAGCTTATGCATACAGGCCAGAGGTGTGGGAGGTGAGAGCATTCACCAGAGACAGAGTAGGGAGCAGAACAGGGAGATTGATAGAAATACACTGCTGAGGGGAGCAGCTGTCAGGACAGGAGAGGTCTGTTGTGTCATGTGGGTCACCTCCCTGGCCTGGGATAAAACTTGTGCTTCAGTGCTGTGGCTAGCTTCATAGTGCTGTGCTTTAACCGGTTGCAACACCAGGGAGGGACCAGAGATTGACTTTTTGATTTGGAGATAAAGTGAATCATTGCAGGTTCAGAGTAAAATAAAGAAACTCTTATAGAAAACAGTGTAGAGTTT